CTGGGTGGTGATGGCATGAGGCCAGAGAATCTGCATCTAGTCGAGGGGCCTTGCTTCCTAAACGTTCAACAGCCTCCTTCCCTGGCTCAGGCTCTGACTTGGCAGTGGTCGGGCCAACGCACCAGCTGCGTACATGGAGGCCTCCTGCCTCTGGCCCTGCCAGGGCCTCGAGGCCTGCTTTTGGGGGTGCTTCCCCTGCCTCCCCTCACCCTGCGCCCATTCCAGGGCAGGCCTCTGAACCAGCGCTTCCTGCGTGGTCTGGCGTGAAGGGAGCTGTGGAGGACGAGGGAAGTCCGGCAGCAGCTGCTAGCCTGCCCCCCCCCCCATTTCTGGTTGGCCTGGGGCTGCAGCTGGCGGGCTGGCCCCGGGAAGGGGGCTCCTGAGACACCTCCTTAGACATGTAATTGGGGTTGCACGGCTTGGTAATTAGGAGACGCAGCACACTGTTCTCTAAATGACTATAATTAAAGCTACTTTCTGCAGCCAAACCAGGAGTTTTGGGCATCACCTGGGGGAACTGGGTGGAGGGGGGGGAAGGGAAGAGAGGCAAAGACTTGGCTGCAGAGGGTGTCCTGCGGGCCGGCCCCTCTTCCTCACCCCTCTCTAGGCCCCTCCACAGACTCCTGGGGGCTCTAGACAGCCAACAGGCCTGGAGACCATCTGGCTCAAGGCCCCGGTCTGACAGAAGGAAGATGCCTGGAGAAGGGAGGACATTTGCCCCAAGTGACAGAGGTGTCAACGGCAGAACCTGCACAGGAGCCCAGCCTTCCCCTCAGCAGGACTAGCCTCCTGCACTGGTTTCTAGTGCATGCCAAGCACTTTCTCCTCTCCTGGTCTTTGGCCAGCACTCCCTTCAGCCTGGCACACTCCCCACCCCTCTCTGGGATCCTTACTCTTCCCTCAAGATTTCTGTGTGACAACACCTCCTCCAGGAAGCCCTCCTTGAGCCCCTGGGTAGGGTCAGTGCCTCCTCAGGTTCTCCACGGCCCCGCTCTGGCCCCAGCTGATGACCCACCCTGGGTGGGCCCGTCTTCCTTACTTAGCTAGTATGATCTCGGGGTCATGGACCACATCTGATTCCTAGTGGGGCACTGGGGCTGGCTGGCAGTGGCTTTTGAGAGCTGGTGGTTGAATTTTTAGGAATTTTCTGAACTGGTTGTTAAACTCAGCCACCGTTAATAATTAAATTTTATAAACTTACAATTAAACACATTTTTTTAAAAGATTTTATTTATTTATTTGACACAGAGAGACACAGCGAGAGAGGGAACACAAGCAGGGGGAGTGGGAGAGGGAGAAGCAGGCTTCCCGCGGAGCAGGGGGTCCAACGCAGGGCTCAATCCCAGGACCCTGGGACCATTACCTGAGCCAAAGGCAGACGCTTAACGATTGAGCCACCCAGGCGCCCTCTAAACACATTTTCTTAAAAAGGGAAATACACACTAAAAACGTTATCACTTCCCAATTATTTTTACTGTTATCTAAACTAAGCTTATTTACGGCTACTGTGTCTGGGGGTGGACACACTATATAAAGGTGGGCACCAACTCGGCAATCATCGACATCACACCGACGCCTTGATCCCCGCCACGGGAGGAATGCGGATGCCACAGACATAAGCAGGGCCCCTCACCCCAGCCCAGGGATCTGGGTGTAAAACATCTTGCGGCGCACCACTGAGCTCACCTCTGACCTGCTGGCCCTTCCAGCAGGGCGAGGGGCACAGCAGCGCTTCATGAAGGCCACCAAACAAGGAGAGAAAGAATGCAGTGTTTGCCTTGGGAAGCAGGATTATTGACTTGCAACAACTGCCACCAGGTGCCGGCTCTACCCCTGCCCCATTTTCGTCCTGGGGCTTTCATGGGGGCACGGGGAAGGCCCACGGCTGGGGCGTCTGTGGGCGCTGGGGTGGAGGGGAGCCAGCTCTCCCAGGCCAGGGCTGAGGGGCCCCGGAGAGGCGGTAGGTGTGGGCGGCCTTGGCAGGGCGCACAGAGAATGGGGCCCAGGGGAGATCCTGCTGCTTCCTCTCCCAAACGGTCCTGGGCAGCGTGCCACCCTCTTGCGCCCCTCCCAGCCTGGCCACCGCAGTGGGGTGGGGGTGGGGGTGGGGGGGCAGGCAGAAAGGCCATGCAGCTGGGCTGGCTTCAGAGAAGGTGCCTGAAGAGCTCCCCTCCCTTAGAACTTGGGGTAAGAATTGGCCTTTTCATGGTTTTTTTTTTTTTTTTTTAAGATTTTATTTATTTATTTGAGAGAGAGAATGAGATAGGGAGAGAGAGCATGAGAGGGGGGAGGGTCTGAGGGAGAAGCAGACTCCCTGCTGAGCAGGGAGCCTAATGCGGGACTCGATCCTGGGACTCCAGGATCATGACCTGAGCCAAAGGCAGTCGCTTAACCAAGTGAGCCACCCAGGTGCCCTTTCAGGGTCTTTCTTAAAAGTGGCATCCCCGTCCCCTCTGTGGGTAGCAGGCCCTTTAGAAGCCCAGAAGGTCAGGGATGAGGAAGAAGATGGAGGCTGAGTGCTTCCTGCCCATTGCCTCATTTAACTGTACAGCAGGCAGCCCTGCTCTGCCCTCACGGGACAGGAGGGGACTCCGATGATTGCAGTTCACCTAGCCCAGGGACTTCCTGCAGCTCTTCTACAATGTTTCTCTTCTTTTTTGAGAGAGAATGTGTGCATGCGTGCATGTGCGCTTGCGCGTGCAAGACAAGGAAGCAGCAGAGGGAGAGGGAGAGAATCTTAAGATCATGACCTGAGCTGAAATCAAGAGTCAGATGCCTAACCAACTGAGCCCCCCAGGCGCCCCTCTTCTGCAATATTTCTGAGCCCCCAGAGCACATTTGTCAATGTCTGGAGACATTATTTTACTGTCACAACCGGGAGTGGGGGCGCTACCGGCATCTAGTGGGGAGAGGCCATGGATGTTGATAAACATCCTACAGTGCCCACGACGGGCCCCCACAAGAAAGAACGATCCAGGCTAAAACATCAACAGTGCCACGGCTGAGAAACCCTGATCTAGAGAGATGTACTTGGACATACGAACACAATGTCTGTCCCCAGTTAAGAACCCCTGGTCTCCCACCTGGTAGTTCATGGAAGAGGAGCGAACAGAAGGCAGGGTGGATAAACGGCTTGTTTCAGGGTACCCAGCGAGATCCCCTGGCAACCGGTGCGGTGAGCACAGCGCTTGCACACAGTGGCAGCTCAGCAGGGATGAAAACCAAGAAAGGCCCAGGTTCTGGGCTACAACGCCTCTCAAGGCTGTCCTGGACAAGAGCCTCATCAATGTCTTCTTGAGGTTTGTTGGACCCCAGCCTCTCTGACCAGCCCCTTCTTGACTGCAGTGAGGAGGCCTGAGCCGGGCCCATGGTGGGGGTGGGGGGGGTGGGGGCTGCTTAAGGGATGAGGGAGACAGTGGGTTGAAGCCAACTTCACACGTCTAAGCCTGAGAGGCCATGGCGGTTGGAAAGGTACACCACGGTGGTGGGCACTGGAGGGCGGGGTCCAGGTGCTGGTGATGGGGTGGACTGGTGCCACTTCCCCATGGCTATATCCCTGGCGAGGCAGGTGGGGTATCTGTGGTGGGAAGCTCAGATGTTCTGACCTTACTTGACAGAGGACTTGAGGTCCTCGATTAGCTAAAAGCCCTTGTCTGGTGCCTGCTTCTGCAACTGGCCTTGAAGAGCCCACTGGGGTTATGTCTGCAGGGGCCTCAGCTGCCTCCTCCTGTTCTCCATCCTGTCCACCCTCTTCTCAGGAAGCAGAGTTGCATGGTGTGAGGCATGCAGGCTCTACAGCTCCACTTCAGGGTTCATATGTGGCATGTACTTACTGGCTGTGTGTCCTTAGGCAAATTACTTAGCCTCTCTGTTCCCTCATCTGTTGAATGGACCCCCCCTCCCCCGCATAGGTTTGGTGGGAGGATCAAATGAGGTAATTTTTTATAAAGCCTTTAGAAGGATGCCTGGCCTAAAGTAACTACTCAATAAATGTGAACTATTATTGGTATTGTTTCTATTCGGCTACTCATGCCCTCTGGAGTGGGTGTGAACTAATAATCCAGGGCTCTTCTCTCTAGCATCTCCAGCTCTCTGCCGCTCTCTAGTGGACGCTGGCTGCATTGTCTTGAGGGGACACTTGGTGTATCCACAGAGGTAATTTCTTCCTTCAGATTTCAAAGGAAATTTGCCATGTAAGGAAACCTTATGGTTGATTCCTGGATAGAGTCAGACAACTAATTTCCTCCCCTTCCTCCCAAAGAGAAGTCACTTTTGGGTTGGTATTTGCATGTTGGTTTGATGGAGCTGCAGCACCCTGTTGTAGTGGAAAAGCTACACGGGGGCAATTTTTCTTCTTGATATCGATGTTAATTGATCATTTTCGGTTTTTACAGGTGTGATTAACTTTAACCCCAACACATTTCAGCAAACCTACTCATTCCACTGTTGAAGCCAAACATTATCACCCACACCCCAGCGTGGAGATAACCTGTCCGTTTTCTCAAGTTGTTTCTTCTTCTTCGTCCAACAGTCTGCGTGGACCCTGGGGTACAGCAGAGACTGTGTCTGTTTCGCTCACAGCTTTATCTCTGGTGCCCATTACAGGGTCTGGCACATGTACCTGTCTGTGGAATGAGGAATGCACTCATGACAACCATGTGGCCTTGTGGCTCCCTGCCCCTCCTTCCTCCTATTGAAAAGGCCACCACAGAAGGGTGGGGGATCTACTGAGGCATTACGGGGGGCGGGCGGGCTCTGTGCTGAGTGCTAATGGACTCTGGGAGGAGACTTACTTAAAGGGAAAGACGAAGGCATAGCTGTTGGTGAGAAGGGGCGAGGGAGTTGGAAAAGATCTGTACACCTACCTGGTTTGGCCGGAGGGAGGTCAGTTAGACCACGGGGAGGGGCAGCAAGAGTCCTGGACTCAGGCTGTCCCGGAGGCTCCCCAGGGGGGAACCTGGAACTTGGTCTCCCGCCGCACACCTGTGCCTGGGGACAACATGGCCGACGCTTACCCCAGACGCCGCATCAGGTCTGTAGCTCACGCTCCGGCCGGAAAAGGAACGCGCCACACCTGCGCCAGGTCTGCGCACCTTCCCCACGTATTCTTTATTCAGGTTTTTACGGCTCTCAGCTCCGCCCTTGGCCCCGCCCCTCACCCCCCAGCCAATCCGAGAACCCCAGCAACCCCCACGTCCAATGCGGAGCCTCCCGGCCCGAGCCCCGCCCCGCCGCCTCCACCTGCAGCAGCGGCGTGTGGACGCGTTCCGCGGCTGGGTCACCTGCGCTTGTCCGCGGAATCCTGGGCCTCCGCTCCGCTCTTGCAGGTGCTGGAAGGGACAGCGGCCCGGGTGCCTGTCCCGGGGCCAAGCGTGTACCTGGCCAGGGCCCGCTCCCGAGATCGCCCTATCCGGAGGCGGCACCTTCTTCATGTGCCCCCCCCCCCCCCCCCGCCACTGTCCTCTCTGAGACCGTTTAACCTTTACGGCTAAGGCAGACTTTGTAGGTCCAGTAAGTCCACTCTGAGCTGGGGCCGGCTGTCCCGCCACCTCCTGGCCCCGTCGTAGGGCCGAGACTTAGCCCATTTCTCCCTTAGTCCTCTGCCTCCCGAGCCCACCATCCTCTTCAACCCGGGCGGCCGATTGCCGTTGCTGTGGGCTTTGGCTCCACCTAGTGGCGCAATGTTTAACGTCCGAGGCCCAGGCAGGCTGGCGAAAGCGGCGGCAGGTATGCGGGCGGATACCTGGATACACCGCAGTGACCTTGAAGTGAGCCCAAAGTGGCCTTTCTCTGCCTCTGCCCAGCCCCTCCCTCTGGTTCCGAGGGGAGCCTGGGGTGCTGGGGAGTTACAGATGCCCGTTCGGACCCCTCTGCCTCCAGAAGGCTTTGGTGACTTTTAACTCTCAGAGGAATTGGTGCCCCTGAACTCCCATCCCTGGCCTGACCTTGACACCAGCTGTTGCCGCTGCTGTCCCAGGGTTCCCACAATCCCAAGAGATGCTTCCCTTCCCCTGAGTACTGGCACCCAGCCCCCTTCCCGCTTTACTCCCTGCCCTCATTTGGGCTTCTTCTCAGCCATTTGCTCTCCCCACCCCCTTGCTCGCCCTCCCTTCCTCCCTCTCTGCCCCGTCATCACCACCCTCTGTGTGTCCAACTGTGAGTCTGTCTGTGTCGCTGTGTCAGCCTTTACCGCCCTCCTGGTGGGGCACTGCCCTGGTGACACGGAAAGCCTCTCCCAGCTCTCCAGCTGCCGTATCCACCCACCTCTGTTGTCCGCACGTAGGTTTGCACAACTGCTGTGAAAATCAGGGGGAGTGGTCCCTTCTGGGGACCTTCAGAGTCCCCTCCTTAGGAGGGAAGAAGTGTCTGTGCCAACCTCTGAGGCCGGCTTGTCTCAGACTCTGTGCCCTCAGCAGCTCCTGCCACTGGTTGCAGTAAAATGTCCTTTCTTACATGATGGGACATGACAGGACATCGCTTCCCTCCCTGCTCTTAACTGGCCCGATTGTCTTCCCCATCTGCAGCCGGGCTCTGCCTCCCCAGTCCAGCAAGGCGATGATTGTCCTTAGGCGTGCGTGTGCGTGTGCGTGCGCGTGCGTGTGTGTGTGTGAAGGTGTGTATGCTTTGGGTGGAAGATAGGGAAGACCTACGGGTCCAGGTTACTTCTATGTTACCCATGAGAGGAACCCATGCCCCGAGCCCCCGAAGGGGACCATGTGAATATTTGACAGCTGAAACCAAATGATTGGCTCTAAAATAAGAACACTGCGAAATTGAAATCAATAAATTCTTAATCAAAGGTCCGACTGTAACATTATATCAACCTCATTAATTGTTAAATTTAGGATTCATAAAATTTTCATTACATTTGAAGGAATGTGTGGGCTAGGTTTTACAAGAATTCCCAATTGTGATTTAAATCAGTTACTCCTAGCCAAATGATTTCAAGAGCAAAATTATAAATATCGTTTCAAAAATTTTACAGCAGATTTTTAATATTTTAATATGTTTGCACTGATATGGGGTGAAGCTGTCAAAAATAAAGATGCCAGGGCTTACAGAGGTCCTAAAAACAGCTCTTTGTCTTAGGGTGAGGCAGGAGGCAGGAAATCAGTGAGGATGAGGGGGTGGGGTTGGTGATGGGGCACAGGAAAGTCTCAGGGGACAGGGTGGAGACAGCGATGGTGAAGGGGAGAGGGAGGAGGAGTGTCCTTTTGCTTCTTCAGGGAGCTCTACTCAACCCCTCAAGTTGGGGTGTAGAGGCTCCTCTGGACGTACAGGGGTCTGGAGTCTTATTGGAGCAGGGAGGGGCCACAGGGTCGCTGAGTGAAGACTAGGGTTCAGGCTTATTCTCCCCCATGGGGAGTCCATATGGGCGCTTGGCCCAAGGGGAGCAAATTCTTATAGGAGGGCTGTGATGGGAGGCATCTGGGGCCAGCCCTCAGAGGTGCCTTTTGCAGGGACCCCCAAACTGGGAATGCTCCTTTGCTAAGGGCTCTGGGCCCTTGGCATCCAGGTCCCATCTTCTCCCCTCCCCCACCTGACTTTACTTCCATCCCCAAAAGTTCTGTCAACTCAGTCTCATATTCTCCTTCATTTCACTCTCTCTGGCTAGAAGGAATAGACAAGGATCCATTAAAAGTTCCCCAACTGGGATCCCCTTTCCTCCAGAGCACAAGCACTCAGGCTTTATAAACCCTGGTTATGTGATAGCCAGCCTGGGTGGGGAGGACAGATGTCATTTCTTCCTGGGAAGGTGTCGCCGCTGGCAAATGGCCACATGACTTCCTGGCAGTCTGCCCCAGTCTGAAGTTGGGCATGTGAAAAGAAACAAGGAAAGAATCAGAATTTTCCTGTATGGTGTTTATATCCTAACCTAACGAGGGGGTGGCAGGGGGTGGGCGTTAAATGCGGGGAAGTTGGCTAGGCTACTCTGAGAACCCACACATTTTCTGAGTGCCTCATTATCTTCATCCTTGCAACAATCCTGAAAAGCAGGTGTGATGCCCTATTTTAAAGTCTCTGGTCTGCCCAATATTCTCTGCCTTTGGATACTGTCTTTCCCCCATCCTTTGTGGTTCCCGAGGCCCCCACCAACCCCAGAGGCTGCTGGCCCCTGGCTGCAGGGCTGGGTACCTGTCCACTCGGTACTGGACTGAAGGCTGGCCAGTCAGAATTCCTCTGTGAGATCTGCGGATGTTGGAAGGTGGGATGGAGGGACACTCCCTCTATCCTGAAAAGATGAGCTTCTGGGGCCCTGGAGTCTGGAGTGGCCTGGCTTCTTTCTTGCCATGCGCAGAGGACTGTAGGAACGTGTAGCCAGCGAGCAAGAAAGGAGAAGCAAGAGACAGGGAGAGTGACAGAGTGTGCGAGCCTTGGAACAGCATTCGATCGCCAGCTTTTAGCCTGACTTTTCAAATTTATGTCAATGAATTTTTACTTATTTATGTATTTATTTTTGTTTCAGCCAGTTTGAGCTGGGTTTTTGCCCTTTGCCCCTGCAAGAGTTCTGGTTGATATTACTCTACAACATGAAGCTCTTCTCTCCTGGAAAGGAAGGGGCAACTGGGATAGTTGTAGTTCTTGATGGAAAGCAACAGAAACCCAGCTGGAGTTGGGTGATACAGACTGGGGGTTTACCAGAGGCAAGGAGATGCAGCTGGGCCTCTGGGGGCTCTGGGAACAGGAGCAAAGTCCCGGCTGTGACTCGTGTGCTTTGTGGTGCTCTTCTCTGAGTTGCTCTGGCTCTGGCTCTGGCTTCCTTCTCTCTATTGGCTTTTTCCCTCTGGGTGGACAGAACATGGCCTTACATCTCAGCATTTGGTCGCCACAGAAGGACTGATGATGTCTCCTCACATGAATTTCAGAAGGTTCTGGAAGGGCCCATGAGTGGTCCAGTCTGGGTCAACTGATACTCAGGTAGAACTGTCATCTGTAGCCAGAGGGGAGGGTTACTTGCGACCCACCTCTGTGTTTTGAGGGTCTTTCCCAGAGAAGAGGGGCTTATCATGGGACAGAGAAATCCCTTCCAGAGTGTCTACCGTAGGAATGAGAGTACTGTGTCCGGCACTGTACTAGAGGCTTTCTGGGGTCCCAGGTACATTCCTGCCCCCTGAAAATTTTGTAGGGATTGAATAATAGAGCCAGATGTCAGACAGGGTCAGATTCTCAGCTTCATTCTTGGTGAAACCAGATGGAAGGACTAGGCTCCCTTGCCATTCTTTTCTGACTTAGCCTAACTTACTGTGGCTAAGACTGCTAGCTGGCCATGTTGCCAGCAAAGTGCAAACTGCCTTTCCCAGTCTCCCCCTAGCTAGGTGCATGCATGCAGTCGGGTTCTGCCAATGAGATGTAACTGGGCCTGTGTGGCTCCTTGAGGAAGACCCCTTCGGTGGAGCTCCTCAGCAGGGAGGGCCCTTTTTGTGTTGTTTAGCTCTTCTTTCTTCTTGCCTGTGGCACGGTTAGAGCTCCAGCAGCATCTTGGGCTGGGATGCGGCCAAGGAGATGCAAGCCAGGTACTGACATGAGTGGAACAGGAAGACAGAACTTGAGTTTCAGTAGGACTGATGCACCAGCTCCAGACTGCCCAGCTCTGAGCTCCCTTTCAGTTGGAGAGAATAGGCTCCTATCCTGGGTAGCCTGTACTTTGGATTTGCTGTTTATCCATCTGAATCTGATCCCAGTCAATCTGATCACCATCTCGGTCACAGGCAACATTCTAGATGGATCCAAGCGTCTACTAGCTCCACTCTGAGAACTACAGGGTAGTTACGGAATGCAGGAGGCAAGAGGAGGAGAAGGGGATGTGGGCTTTGTAAGCACTGGCCAGCCCTCCTGAGAGAGCCAGAAAGGACCCAGGCATGCCCGCTCACTAGTCCAGCCTCATCCATCAGAGAAATAAAACCCTTTTCCATCATGAAGGGCTTGGTGAGGGTGGAACCTGACTGTGATCGCTTTTGAGAGGGCGAAAGCTTCAGTTTGGGCGCTGGCAAGAACAGAGAGAGGGGGAGGAAAAATTATATATGTACGTTTATTTATTTATTTATTTTTGAGAGAGAGAGAAAGAGCGTGAGAAGGGCCAGAGGGAGAGAGAATCCTGAGCTGACTCCACGCTGAACTTGGAGCCCAGCATGGGGCTCGATCTCACGACCTTGAGATCACAACCCCAGCCGAAACCAAGAGTTGCATGCTCAGCTGATTATACCACCCAGGCGTCTCTAGGTATGTATATATTATGTGTATAGAGAGATAGGTAGATGAAAAAACAGTGTATGATTCCATTATCTCCTGCAATAATCCGGTGAGGTGGGTGCTAATTTTTCCATGAGCAGATGAGGAGCCTGAGCATTTGTCGAGGGCCCCACAGCTAGTAGGGGGTAGATATGAAACTTGACCACAGATTTGTCAGATTCTTAAAATTGTTGATGCTTTTTCCACTGCCTGTGGGTGTTTGTCTGAGTTGGGGGTGGAAGGCTTGGGAAAGCATATCCGGAACGACCTTTGGTGGTTTGGAGGGTGTTAGGACCCATTAAAGCCTGAGTACACGGATCTGGTCTTATTTCTGGGACCCAACTCATGTGTCTCCTGGACTTTGGTTTGATCTCAAAAATCTGACATTTGAGCCTTCTCTCTGGGAAACAAAACGAGAAAATGCCAGATGTGTAACTGTCTTAGAGTGTGTTCTAAACTGAGTCTCCTCATCAGATGGAGGGCTCGCCTACACTGCTTGTCACTTAGGTAAGAGCCTGCTGGCCCCTCTGCTCAGGACAGCTTCATAAGCGGGTGGGCCGTGTCCTGGATCCCGCCCAGGCAGTGGGTACGCTTGCCCTTATAATCCACCATGGGCTATTAGACCATGTGACTCAGTGCTATCGTCTTCATTTCAGAAGGGGATCAGAAGATATTTGATTCCAAGCAGCAGAAATCCCAACTCAAACTGGCTCAAACTAGGAAGAGGATTCATCAGCTTATGTACCGGAAAGTCTCACAGTAGGCCTGGTTTAGGGCTGCTTTAATCCAATATCTCTGCAGTAGCATCAAGGGCCTGGTTTCTTTACATCTTTCTAAAAACTGGCTCCCCTTTGTAATTGCAAGATGGCTGCCCCAAATCCCTGGGGCTGTAAGCTTCCTCAGTGCAGATGAAGATATGTCCACAAATTCCTTGACACCTCCTTTAAAAGTTGGAGCCAAATTCCCTGCTCCTTGAATGTTCTTCCAAGTGATGGCACAGCTTCAGAGACTAGGGCATGAAAGAGAATGAAGCTTTCAGCTTGTTCTTGCTCGAATCACTTGCTCTGAGGAAAATCAGCTGCCATGTTATGAGGATGGTCAGGCAGCCTTGGAAGAGGCCCATGAGGTGAAACACTGAGGCCTCCAACCAACAGCCAGGGAGAACTGAGTCACCTGCAGGTAGCCACTGAAAGGTCTGGAAGTCGGGCCACTTTAATCCAATGAGCTCGGGAGTTGGTTCCCAGCACCAGCCAGACCTCAGGTGACAGCAGCCCCTCATGAGAAACCACGAGCTAGAGCCCCCCAGCAAAGCTGTCCCTGGATTCCTGACCCATAGAAACTGAAGTAAGGCACATTTGTTGTTTTAAGCCACTATTTTGGAATAATTTGTTAAGCAGCAATATTCAGTGTGTCCAGGGAAAACGATGTGCTTCTAGAAGCTCTTCCAGAGAAGTGAAGAAGCCTCTGTCCCAGAAGCCTCCGCAAACCCTTCCTCATGTCTCATTGGCCCAGGCTTATCATAGACCTGTCCTTCAACCAACAACTGGCCAGGGGGGCGGAATGAAGCTAATAACCTTGGCCTGGGCCTCTCCCCGGGGGTCAGTGCCCTGAGACACATGGGCTGAGGGGCAGGTGTGGAGGGAGGCCTGACTAAATTTGGGGTGCTGCCCAGAAGAGGACCACAGGTCTTCCATGCCAGGCCAATCAGAGCTCCTCCCAGGGAGGAAGAAGTTTTGGTGGCGGGGGGCGGGGGGTGGCGCTTAAAACCAAGTGCTTGGCTTTCAGTCAGGAATTTATGAATTTTACCTTGGTTCTGTGATTCTGTGAAGGAAAACAAGTTGACTGCTTTTCTCTGGGGAAGCTCATTGCCCCAGTACTGCCTGTGAGACATGGCCTTCCCCCGCTGATGTCATTCCAGCCTCGAGGTCAGCATTGAGGCAAAACAGCTCCCTCCAAACTCTCTTTATCAGAAGGTCTGTGCCTGGAAGGGCCTGGAAGTGGTCACACCTCCAGCGAGAGCAATAATCACTCTGGAGAAGTGCAAATATGCGTATATATCTATTTTCCCCCCTAAAAAACTGCTGCTTTAAATTTTTTGGAAATGGTCCAACACTATTTGAATCCTGGGTCAGGTGGCTGTATGGGGACAGCATTCACTTTGGATGAATCTGTGGGCCGATAAACACAACAGAAGGGGTCAAGAGGTTGTCAGCTTGTGTGTGTGTGTGTGTGTGTGTGTGTGTGTGTGTGTGGTAACAGCTCTCTTGAGCTCTGATTCACATGCCACACGATTCACCCATTTAAACTGTGCAATTCAATATTTTTTAGTACATTATAGACAACAGTCATCACAATCAATTCTAGAATATTTTCATGTTCATCATTCCAAAAAGAAACTCCATACCTTTTATTTATCTTTATTTTTGGTATTTTTAAAAAGATTTATTTACTTATTTGAGAGAGAGAGCACAAGAGGGGGAAGGGACAGGAGAGAGAGAGAGAGAATCTCAAGCAGACTCCCCACTGAGCGCGGGGCTTGATCCCACGACCCCAAGATCATGACCTGAGCCAAAATCAAGAGTAGGACACCCAACCGACTGAGCCACCCAGGTGCCCTAAAACTCCGTACCTTTTAGATATCATCCCCTCAGCCCTAAGCAACCACCACTCTACTTTCTGTCTCTTATAGATGTGTTTTCAATATATCCTTTGTTTGCCAGCAGACAAGAGTCTGAAAAAAATGGAGAGAAATCATTTTGTCCAATGTGAAACATAAGGTGTAGTGTGGATTATTGTCATGAAATGTTCTCCATGGCGTGTGTGTGCTTTCTGACATACACACCTTTATCAAGTGAGCTGTAGTTTTGCCAAAATTCTATTATGATTGATCTTTGTTGTCTGGGAAGGTGTTGGGGGTAGGAAGGATGTGTAGGGGGCTGACCTTGGCGGGGATGGGTTTGGGGGCGTGGTATAGTGGTAGGGGTATGGTGGTAGGGGTTGTGGAGACAGACCAGAGAGCTTGGTGTGGACAGGAGAAGGTGACTTTCCAGTTTGGGTAGTGACCTGATTTGCCAAGATCTTGGAGTAAGTCCAGAGTGGCCTGACCACAGACCTCACTCAAGGGACCCAGGGCTCCTTCTGAGTCAGCCATGTTGAATCTTGGCTCCAGATCAGGGCCAGCTGAGGAAGGATGACGAGGATTGGGGTTCAAGGTGAAATTCCTTTGTTTCAAGTTTCTTCAAGGCCTGGCGGATGAAGGTCTTCTCATTCCTCCTCTTCCTCCTCTGGACTTCCCATCTATCATCAGCCAGGTGCCAACGCTCTGCAAGTCTGCAGTGATTGCCGGGTTGGCCTCATGCAGGACAGGCTGTGGGGAGGAAATGGCTATGCCTCTCCAAATGGCCACTCTTGATTTGGGCCTCTGTGGCTCTTTGGGTCTCAAGGCCTGGCTTCAGGCCTGCCTCGGTTCCTGCTTTGCTCTAGTGACTCAGGGCAGATCTCTGCCCCTCTCTGGATCTCCGTATTCTCATCTATGTAATGGGAGACCGAAGAAGTGATACCTAAGGGCCTTTCCATGTCTCTCAGCCTGTGAGAACTAGCTCAGTTTAGGGGAATTGGTCATTGGCTTATAGTATGCAGAGTGTTCATTATTTGTCCTCCTTCGGTGCCCTCGGGCCTTCTCAACAGCATGGCCAGGGGACTGAGAGCTGAGCCTGGGAGAGGGACCACCTGGGACTTTTTTTTTTTTTTAAGTAGGCTCCACACCCAGCATGGGGCTTGAACTTACCATCCTGAGATCAAGAGTCATATGCTCCACTGACTGAGCCAGCCAGGAGCCCCAAGGGACCACCTGGATTTTAATCCTAGATCTGTCACTGGTTAGTTCTGTGACTTCAGGCAAATGCCCATCCTGTCTACACCTTGGTTTCCTCATTTCTGAAACAGGGAAACTATTAGGACCTACCTCGTGGCACGGCGGCGATTAAGTGGAATAATGCATGTAAGGTCTCTTGCACATAGGAAATGTCCATTCTGTTTTAGGATGTGGACATGGGAAGTCATGGGGCTTGCCCAGCGACAGAAATGGAAAACCAGGATCTTCTCAACGTTCCCAAATCCAGATGCTTGGGAGGCAGGTGGCCTGGAGCATACTTCTCTACTTCTGTTGAGGGCTGGTCTGGTTTGCCCCATTTTGGCAGCGTGTTGAAGGGGGCTGGGGGAGATTCTGGAGTAGTGGGCCAGGAGGCTGGCCTGAGCGAGGGATGCGGGTGGCCTGTGGACTGAGCTTCGGACATTGGACAAGGCCATATCCTGCTCACTGGGGGCCAAGTTCTTCACTCTTGTCGGGGTGGAGTGTGTTGAGGGTGGGGCCCCAGCTGGAGACACAATGCCCATTTTCCTTCTGTTTCTCCCCTCCCTCATCCCAAGCCCTGCTCATCATTGCCAGGCATGGTGTGACCCAGAAAGAACTTTTTGTGGAGCTGATTGCCCTCCTGTCCCCGCCGGCCTTGCCCCCGCTCCCTCAGGCCCCTTCTACCCAGGCTCTGGGCCTGCTCATGTGCTCTCTTGGACCTGTCTCCTACCTGGCCTCTCCTTCTCCCTGCACAGGCCCCTCTAGTTTTGCCCAGGAAGATGGAAATAAAAGGCATCCTGACTTGACCTGTCTGCCCCATCTGGGTACTGTCAAGGACCCTTCCCCCATCCCCGCGCTCCTCCTGGGGGAAGTCCACAGCCAGGATCCATGGAGTGCAAGATCTGTGCACAGGGTTCCAAGGACAGTGTCCTCCAACTTCCAGGGGCCTCTCGGATAACTCTTTGGGCAGAGGTGAACTCTCAGAGAAGATGCATCAGTGTCTCAGGACCTCCAACTTGTAAGAGGCCGGTTTCCTTCCCAGGCCGTGGTCTAACTCCTCCTGTTCTGTGTCTCGTTTCTTCTCTGGAATTGCTCCTTCGACAGCTGCCTTGGGGAGGAGGGCATGGGCAAGAGACCAGCCGGCTGTTGCTTGTGCCCTCAGCTAGCCTCGGTGGGGCAGTTCAGTGCGCAGAACACAGACGGCACGGAAGCTCACGAGAGTGAGAAGGGCCAATGCCGGCTGACCCAGCGCCACGGCCTCTCCCTCGGAGGCTTTCAGAAGCTTATCTGCTCTCCTCTTGAAGTTTGGCCCTCTCCTGGTCCTCGCCAGCCTCTGTGAGGGCTCCTTCTTTGTCCTCGAAGGAGTCTCATCTTCTCCTGCTCCCACCTGTGGGGACCACTGAGCCCCAGCCTACAAATCCTGCTTCATCCTTCCCCTCAGAGGCCAGAAGCCTCCTAGTGTCCTCAATTTCGGGCTGCTTCCCTGGACTGTGCCCTCCCCGAGGCCAGAGCCCATGTGTCCCTCCCCTCTATGCTATAGAATAGAGATGTGGAAGGCTGCAGGTGTGGGAATAAATCAATACACCTCTCCCCCCACCCCTTGGCTGTTACCCAGCATGGCCTGGACCTTCCTAACCACCCAAGGTGACCTCAGAACCTTAGAGTTTTGAACATAAAAGAATGAGGCAGAGATAAGCACAATCATAGAATGTGATACGGCTTTTCCAAGAGATAGTTCAGGAGCATTTCGTAATAAGAAAAATGTTTATGACAATTTGGGTGAAAACGCAGTAGCGCACAAAATTGCACGAACCCGATGACCTTGGCTATGTGCACAGACCGCCTGAAGGGCTTCTGGGTCAACACGGTGGGGTCTGCTCTCTGGATTCATTGAACCAGGAAGGCTCTTGTCCTGGGGACGTCAGCCATAGTGAGGCAAGTGAGGGGTCCCATACTGAAAATGTAGATTGTTCCTCAGGGAAGATGAGCAGCCGACGTGAAAAGTCAGGTGGCTGCTGACCTTGGCGATCTGTCAGAGTCCTCCCTGATGAAACCCTGCACTGCCCCCACAGCTGGACAAGTCCCGCCAACATGCTCCAAGCTGGCCAGCCTCTTGGGTTCTGACTCCTAAATTTGGCAGGACATCTAGCGGACTGCCCCAAATCTGTAGACACTTGTGGAAACCTCTAACACGAAAGGCAGGAACCAAAACAAACAGAAAAAGCTTGAGTCTGTCAGAGGAACAGGGACAACAGAGAGAGCAAAAGAAAACAAGCAAAACAACCCAAAGAACCCAAACAACTAAACAACTGTGTGATTAATATCTTGGAGAGTTTTGAGGAGCCGTTGTGTCTATATTGTGTCCGTATCCAGATATGGGAAGGGGCTCGAGGAAACTAAAAAAGAAAAACCGTGGAAATAAAAATTGCAATAGAGAGGTTGGAAGCGGAAGTAGGGAATCTCTCAGGAGGTGGGATGAGAAGACAATGTAATATGGGAGATAAAGAAAAATGATCAGTACCAGATAGATCCAGGAGGTTCCTAGAAGAAAAGTAAGCATTCCAGAAATAGAGAAAAGAGGAGGTGGCGGGAGAAATTATGAAATAAATTATACAAGAAAGTGTCCAGAAGTTTGAGGCCTTGAGTTTCCAGATGAGAAGGGCTTACCAAGTACCCAGCCCAAGAACTGACACGGCAAGTTGGCGTGTGAAACATGAAGCAGCCAAAAGACAGAGCAGGTCCTGAGAGTGACTGGAGGTGGGGGAAGCACAAATGCAAGGAAGGGTTCAGGAATCAGAGAGCCTTTGGATTTCTCAACAGCAGTTCCACAGAGTGGAAGACCATGGAGCTATGCTTTCAAACATTATTATTATTTTTTTTTATTTATTTATTTGAGAGAGAGAATAAGAGAGAGAGAGCACGAGAGGGAAGAGGGTCAGAGGGAGAAGCAGACTCCCCGCCGAGCAGGGAGCCCGACGTGGGACTCGATCCCGAGACTCCAGGATCATGACCCGAGCCGAAGGCAGTCGCCCAACCAACTGAGCCACCCAGGCGCCCCTATTATTATTTTTTTTAATCAAAAATTGTTCCCAACCTAGGGGCGCCTGGATGGCTCAGTCGGTTGAGCATCTGACTCTTGGTTTTGGCTCAGGTCATGATCTCACGATTGTGAGATCGAGACTGGGGTCAGGCTCTGCACTCAGTGGGGAGTCTGCTTGAGATTCTCTCTCCCTCTGCCCCTACCCCCACCCCTCTCTCTCAAATAAATAAATAAATCTTTAAAAAAATTATTCCCGATAGACGCCTAGAAGCAAACACCGTGGTGAAGGCCGGGGATAAGAGCGGCAGCTGAGGAAAGAAAGGCCTGGAACGGAAGGTGACCGCCGAAGAACCTCAGGAGGCTGCAGTCGCTGAGGATGGAGCCACGGAAAGCAGAGTCCAACCCCCAAAAGCGGCCGCCTTTCCCCTGGGCTTCAGCATTTTGGAAATTAAGAATAAACAACGGCGACACTTAATGTCCAAGCGGTGGAAACAGCAGCAGCGTGAGAAAAAGTTGGCAATTAAGAAAAAACTTAGGAGAGAGGCTCTTGGTGATAAGGCTCCACCAAAGCCTATTCCAAAGACCATCGACAACCAGAGGGTATATGATGAAACTGCAGTAGACCCTAATGATGAAGAGGTTGCTTATGATGAAGCTACAGATGAGTTTGCTTCTTACTTCAACAAGCTTCTCCTAAGATTCTCATCACAACATCAGATAGAGCTCCTGGCAGAACAGTACGACTCTGTGAACAGCTTCCACAGTTAACACCAAACTCACATGTTTATTACAGAAGAGGACTGGCTCTGAAAAAAATTATTCCACAGCGCATTTCAAGAGATTTCACAGATCTGATCATTATTAATGAAGATCGTAAAACACCAAGCGGATTAATTCTAAGTCACTTGCCCAATGACCCAACTGCTCATTTAAAAATGACCAGTGTTTGTTTGTGTAAAGAAATTAAGAGAAGAGGCAAGGACCCTATAGAACACATACCGGAAATAATTTTGAATAACTTTACAACGAGACTGAGTCATTCTGTTGGACGTATGTTTGCATCTCTCTTTCCCCATAATCCTCAGTTTATTGGGAGGCAAATTGCCACATTCCACGATCAACGGGACTACATCTTCCTCAGATTTCATAGGTATATATTCAAGAGTGAAAAGAAAGTGGGAATTCAGGAACTTGGACCACGTTTTACCTTAAAATTAAGATCTCTTCAGAAAGGAAACTTTGATTCTAAATATGGAGAATATGAATGGGTCTATAAGCCCCGGGAAATGGACACAAGTAGAAGAAAATTCCATTTATAAAATACTGAAGGAATAGTATTGAATTGTGCTAAACAGTCCTATCTTGGATTTATGACAGAAACCCTTTTCAAAATGTCATTTACTGGTTTCATAAACATTTTCATGTCTGGATAAAATATCAAGTGCCATGAATTACCATTCATGGTATCATCTATTTGTATGTGGCACATACAAATGCTGAACTCTCAATCTGTGAGGGTAGAATAAAGAAACTGTTAGGCAAGCAAGCTCTTTAATTTTTTTCAAAGATTTTATTTATTTATTTGAGAGAGAGAGAATGGAGATAGAGAGCACGAGAGGGAAGAGGGTCAAGGGAGAAGCAGACTCCCCGCCGAGCAGGGAGCCCGATGTGGGACTCGATTCCGGGACTCCAGGATCATGACCTGAGCCGGAGGCAGTCACCCAACCAACTGAGCCACCCAGGTGCCCCTAGGCAAGCAAGGTCTTAACATTTTACCTTTCATGCACTCTTTCTTTTTTTTTCTTAGAGAGAGAGAGAGCATGTGTGGCCGGGGAGCGCGGGGTACGGGAGGCAGAGGGAGAGGTCCCTGGATGACAGATGTCATGGCTCAGAGATAAGCAGTGTGGATGGGGGAAAGCGAGCGTGTGTCAGGCCCCAGGAGGGATGCTTCCAAGAAGAAGCAGAGATGGATGGGAACCCAATGAGTTTGATTATGTTGAGAAGAGAGTTCGATCCCCCTCTGGGAAGTGGCATCAAGGGTCAGGAGGGCTGGAGCAGAGGGTTGCCATTTTTCCTTATAAGCTTAGTAGTAACGTGATGGTCACTTGGAGATGTTAGCTTAGCTAGGCTCCAGTCCTGTTATTCAAGCACTGAGCTGGGTGTTGCTGTGAAGGCAGTTTGTAGATGTGACGAATCCATAGTCAGTTGACTTGATTGAAGTAAAGAAGATTATCCCAGACAATCTGGGTGGGTCTGATTCAAGCAGTCCAAGGGCCTTAGGAGCAGAGCTGAGATTCCCCTGAAGGAGAAGAAATTGCACGTGGGAGGCGGCTTCCACTGGCGCCAAACGTCCAGCCTACCCTTCTGACAGGTGGCCTGTGAACTTCACACTTGCCCAGCCGGCGGCCCCACGTTGCACAAGCCAATCCCTCAGCACCTCCCTCTAGTTCTGCTTCTCTGGTTGAACCCGGACTCGTACATCTGCTAATTGAATTTTTAAACCACTCTATGGATTATTTGGATAAAACTATACATTGAAGGAAAAATAAATACAATTTCAACCCCTCAGAAAAAGAAAGAGGAAAACAGAAAAGAACTCGAAAAGCACTGGAAGGAAACACAGGAACATGTTTTTAACCAGGGTTTGTGTTTATCTGAGGGTGGTGGGGTCACAGGCATTACAGTTGGTGGTCCCCATAACAAACCTTCGGCCTCCCCTCTTTCCAGGGAACACAACTGTGCCATGAGACTTTCTCTCTTTGGTTCTCAGAATGTCCGCTTATTGAGTTCAAGCCTGTATGGGGCATAAATTAAAAGTAGAATGGTTCAAAATGTTCCAACTTGGCCATATTAATTTAGGTGCAGATGACTGAAATGTAGGAGTGTGACAGATTTTTAGCTATATAATTGTTTACTCTTGTATCATTCAGAGTTCCTCATCATCGAGAACAGAGTTCACTCCAGCTAATATTTCCCAGGGAAGCGTTTATCGAGAGACACTACAGAGTTCACAAAATCTCCGGGAGGGTGGATAATCAGGCTTGGATGCCGAGGTGCCAGGACCGTCACCTGAATCACATCCCAGGGCTGCCTCCGTGGCCAGCCACTGACCCCCACGGGGCTCCCCCGCTTCAGCTGGTCTGGGCCCGAGGTCCCTGCCACCACACTTGCCACAGTAGGGTTCATGTGGTGCTCGCCTCTTCCTGCCACCACCTTCTCAACCAATATTTCCTGAGGGGGCGTCTGACTGGGGGAGTCCAAGCTATCTTCCTGCATCCCAGTCACAAGGGACACTGGAAAAGGGAGTTTCTGGCTTCCGCCTTGAGACTGAGCATAGAGTCCTTCGTTGGAGAGTCTCCAAAGAACCCAATCTAGGAGCATTTGTTTCTGGGCAGCCCCATTCTGGACACCCAGCAGGTGTTGATGGAAGCTGGGACCACATTCATCCGCCCCCTATACAGGGAGAGGCCACTGGCCGCCACCTGGGCCAGTGGGCGATGTTCGGGGGTGGTGATGCCGTCACCCTTGCTGGGAGCCACTGGGCAAACTGCTGCCCCTTCCCAGCCAGGTGGCAGTGCCCTGCACAGCTTCTCGGGGCCAAGGCTTCTAGTACCCTTCTCTGTTCTCTGTGCGGGGGTCCGGGGGGCCCATGCTCTGCCCCTAGTGACTATTTGCTCTCCCTTGACCCAGGGGACTTCCCTCTCCTACCTTATTTTAGGAAGAGGGAACGACACCAGAGCTTGAGCTGGGTTTAACTCCTACTTGGTGAGGCCGTGTCCTCTTTGTAAAGGTCCATTGTTTTTAATAGGAAAAAGAGTCTGTTAGAAAAAGAGGGATTTTTTTTTTTTTTACATTTTATTGCAGTAACTTATATTCCATAAAATGCAAATATTACAAGTGTATAGGTCAGGTGAATTTTTACATATGTAAACGGACAGATCAAGACAGAGAACATTTCCAGCACCCCAGTAAGTTCTCTCATGCCCTTCCCCCATCCATTACCCCACAAGAGAAAGGTTTCTTTTCTTTTTTTTTAAAGACATGGAGGAAACTTTTTGAAAAAGATTTAGTTATTTATTTGAGAGAGAGAGAGAGCTCACATGAGCGGGGAGAGGGACAGAGGGAAAGAATCCCAAGCAGACTCCCCACTGGGCTCAATGCGGAGCCTTGATTTCAGGACCCTGAGATCATGACCTGAGCTCAAATCAAGAGTCAGACACCTAACCAACTGAGCCCCCCAGGAGCCCCAAGAGGAGCGCTTCTAACACCACGCATTCATTTCACCAATTCTCACACTTCACTGGAGCAGAGTCCGACAGCACCCGCTCTCCGATGTCGTGTTCTTTCACTCAATGTTAAAGTCTTGGGAGATTTTGATTTTTCTTGTTGGTCCTTTTCCTTAGTGTTCTATAATGAGCAACCTTGACTGTAATTTAGTTTATTTCTTATAATAGTAGCATCTTTAAAAATAATGGTAACAGTACCTGTCAATTATAACATTTTCAGAAAATACAGGTTTGTTTTTTTTTTTCAAGCAGAAAAAGTAGAATCTTAAAAATTGGAGAACGGACCCTATGGCCCAGCAATTGTATTGCTGGGTATTTACCCCAAAGATACAAATGTAGTGATCCAAAAGGGCACCTGTACCCCAATGTTTATAGCAGCAATGTCCACAATAGCCAAACTGTGGAAAAAGCCTAGATGTCCATCAATAGATGAATGGGTAAAGAAGATATGGTATATATATACACAATGGAATATTATGCAGCCATCAAAAGGAATGAAATCTTCCCATTTGCAACAATGTGGATGGAACTGGAGGGTATTATGCTGAGCAAAATAAGTCAGTCAGAGAAAGACAATTATCGTATGATCTCACTGATATATGGAATTTAAGAAACAAAACAGAGGAGCATGGGGGAAGAGAGGAAAAAATAAAACAAGCCGAAACCAGAGAGGGAGACAAACCATAAGAGACTCTTAATCATAGGAAACAAGCTGAGGGTTGTTGGAAGGGAGGGAGGTGGGGGGATGGGGTAACTGGGTGACGGACGTTAAGGAGGGCACATGATGTAATGAGCACTGGGTGTTATATAAGACTGATGAATCACTGAACTCTACTTCTGAAACCAATAGTACATTATATGTTAATTAATTGAATTTAAATTTTAAAAAATCGGGGAACTGTACAAAAACAGTTTATAATTACCTCTATCTCTATCTCTATGTATCTATGTATCTATCATCTATTATAAATAAGGGCTGCAGGGTGGCTCTCACCTCCTCCTGGGTCCCTCATAAGCACCCCCAACCCCAGGTTGTCCACATGTCCTGAGCGTTGTCTGCCAGGGGCTGGGTCCCACTGCAGGGGGCAGCAGGAGGTCCCAGCAGAGGAAAGGCACAAACCTGGCCATTTCAGGGGCCTGTTAGGGCTGATAGTGAGGACACAGACGGGGTCTCCTTGTGTCTTGGGAAGACTTTCTGGCTGCAGAAATCCCAGACTGAGACTTGGCACCCCAAGTCTGGGAGGGGCTGTGTGTGGGCTGGAGCCAATAAGAGAAGGAGGGAGGCTGACCACTCTGTCAGCTCGCTTAGCCTTGAGCTGGTGCTTATAAGCTGGACGGCAGGGGCCCAGGGCCGGAGTCATCCTGGCAGGCCCACGGCAGTGCGAGCAGGGACCGTAGCCGCCGTGGGGACAGCATGCTGGCCAAGGGGCTTCCTCTTCGCTCAGTCCTGGTCAAAGGCTGCCAGCCCGTCCTGACCACCGTGCGGGAGGGTCCTGGGCATCTCAGGGCGCCCACTGGGGAGGGGGACAGTATCTCCACTCAGATTCCTCGCCCCTTCAGTGAGATCCCCACCCCTGGAAACAATGGCTGGCTAAATCTGTACAATTTCTGGAGGGGGATGGGCTCACAGAAAATCCACTACCACCAGGTCCAGAACTTCCAGAAGTATGGCCCCATTTACAGGTAAGCCTGGCAGTGTGGGGCTGGTGGGATAGGGAGGTAGAGGGGCCTGGGAAGCTTGCAGGACTTCCCTTCCCCAAAAGTTCTATCCTCCATTCCAGGCTCTTATCTACTTTTTTTTTTTTTTTACAGGGGGGTGGGTAGGGGCAGAGGCAGAGGGAGAATCTTAAGCAGGCTCTGTGCCCAGCATGGAGCCCAACGCAGGGCTCGGTCTCACGACCTGACCTGAAATCAAGAGTCGGACACTTAAGTGACGGCGCCACCCAGGTGCCCCTGCTCTTACCTACTTCTGACTTTACTCCTTCCATGCCTGAGGATGGTGGCAGAAGGGAGAATGCCTCCCAGACAGTGGGTTCTGTTCCCAGCCCTGAGGCCTCAATGCGGCTCAGGTCC